GCACTAAGTCCCTCCCCCATCCACCTTTATTCTTTTCTTTACAATAAGGCTTTCAAATAAGTCATGGTTGTACGGCAGTGAAACATTGGTGTTGAACAGTGATGTCATGCTGTCGATGATGATGATCATACTTCTCACATGCCCCATCAGTAGTATCACCGTTTAACAAGTAGCCATTCATTGTAGCCTGACTTGTATGCCGAGGAAGCAGAGCGCTCAGAGTGCAACATCTTCTACAGGATGCAAGCTCGGTGTGGGTTTGTGTAATACTGAAGTAACGGACCAATGCCGTTGCGACCAACAATCGATGTAGCCAGTTGCACTCAATTGACAGACCCCACACACGGGCGAGAACGATGTTACGCTCCATAACACCTCCCCCATTCGGCCTCCCAATTTTTGGTTTCTGTACATCAAGACCTGCAGTTATAACAGTTACAGGATTTTTTGCCTTCTTGTTAAACTGTTCATACTGGCGAACCATCTTCCCAGGTTACTGGAGCAGGAAATTTCCATTCTCAATTAAGTGTATGGTTCGCTTAATTGTGGAAGTTGCAAATCTGATTGACTTATCGTAGACATCTCATCTTGTTTCATTTCTTCGTCAGGACTATCCATCGCTCGAAGCAATCCACTACACCGTTTGTTGGAACGAAATTAACGCGCAATCCTTCAGGTGTAGGTCTGCAATCGACACATTCGAAAAGGACTTGGTAGACATTGAGAAACAAAGAACCGCAAAAGTGAGTCTAGCCGTTTGCTAATTTGTGGGCTGCGAGGTCACCTTCCATCTTGGCGACTGTTCTTGTTGACTTTTGTAAGAGACTATGAGACTGTATTGTACACGCCTGTCACCGTTTCCTCGAGGAATCTTTGATTGAAATGAATTCATTAACCGTGTTGTTCGAAATTGCGCTCATTGAGGCTGGCAGTTCACAACTTGTTGACCGGTCCATCTGACGATCTACACGAAGTGCAAGTGGTTCCAAGTGATTTGGGCTTCCGGGACGGACGAGTTTTAGTTGAATTTACAACTGCCATCGGAAACATCAAAAACAGCATACTAATTTTTGGGATGGGCTTAGCAGAAAGGACAAAACAAAAGGACAGATGAGTCAACGTTCCAACTGCTGCCGTCCGATCAGCACCAGTGGGTTTGAAGTTTGATAAACGGCCGACAATAAGTCATGATGATACAACGCAAAGTCAAGGGATATGGAGGAATAAATTCGGTTTCTGTTGGGTAAACACGTTGCAAAAGAAGTTTTTGGCGCTGAATTTAATGGAAACATCTTCTTGTGAGCGATGTCAGTTCTGGCTGAGAAGCAGCGAACTCCACTACCGCTGTTTCATCCTTGTTGGAAATCATCAACAAAGAACATGTCTTCACATTTTGGATAGATTCGTATCCGCGGACACCAGACGATTCCATCGAGAGCAAATATCTGCTAGAGTGAGGCTCGCTGATTTTAACAAGTATTTTAGCCTGTCACTTTAAGAAGGGACAATTGGAGAAGGTACACTATGGTGCTCCAAAAAGTACAAAATCAGTACGGGACATTGGTCTAGTTGCTTTCCCCAAATTCATCTTATTCCCCGCAGAAAGATGAGAACAGTAAGCTACACCAGTGTAACTAGGTTTTATGTGCATATTCAAGTAGTAATATATCGCGTTTTTTTGCCAGATTCGCAAGGAATTCAACCAGATGACGGATTACCTTGGTGCAAACTCTCACTTATCTTCAGAAGAGTTGCAAGAAGTCTTTGAGGAAGAGATTATGGTAAGTTTCGCGGAGTGCTCCTGAAGCATCCATTGGGGTTAAGCTATGGGAAATAGATCCAACAGAGACCCTCCAGAAAGTAGCCAATTGATGAATGCCATATGAGAAGAGCCAACATCCTCAGCTTGGTCTGTCCGGTAGAGTGGACTGTAAATACAGTAGGTATCATCATCATCATTGTCAGCTGTAATAACCGCGTACTCGTCGTACAGTGGTTGTAGCTGCCGCAGTCTCGTTCACCGATGATTTGAAGGGGGGAGGGGTAGGTAGCTGCGCATTGCAGGCGGAAAGTGATAAATTGGTGCATAAATCCAGCATTGTCAGTGGGCTGTCAAGTGGGACGTTGGAAAAGGAGCTATGCTTTGAAGCCAATAGATTGGATGCACGAGCGGCATTGAGGGCGTGACTGGGCCATGTCTGAGAATGTCGGGGTCCCCATCCAGGAAGACGACAGTGAACAGTGCAGCACAGTTTGCTGGTAATGGCCTTCATACTTCGCTGCCAAGTCATTGTTTGACCACCTCTGGCTCTCTTCCACCCTTCACGTGGTTGTGCGAAAAGAGCCCATCGAGCAAGTTGGTCGACTGGCATACACAGCACGTGGCCAAGCCAACGCAACCGATGCAGTGTGGTCCGTTCATCAATTGAGGGTAAGTTATTTCTCCCAAGTACCATTCGACGTACTTCAGCATTGCTGATCCGGTGTCCCTACCAGATTCAGACAATTATCCAAAGACGCTTCTGGGATCGCTGACCATTCCAACTATCTAAAAGTGCTCTACACATACAGAAGATGGGAATGCGCTGACACAAAATCGAAATAACCTCTTAACGGTAGGCGTGTTTTTCAGCAACAGACATGACGATTAGTGAAAGAAAGAAATGACATATCCGACTCCTCGAACGACGACCCAGTAACTGTGCTGTTTGTGACCCGTATGTCAGGAATTCTTAGGTTCAAAGACGCTTGAAACCCGGTGAACAATGACAAAGGGCGTAATATGTCGTACATCCATTAGGTCACATCAGAGGATCCGTAGAGACTTTGTAGGCCAAACGAACGTTCGATAGAGTGAATAAAGAATAGCCAACTTTTTGTAGAGTTGGAACCCCCGGTGATGTTCGATAACATTGTAATTTCGACGTCATTAAAAAAGAAAACAAATGATTAGCGTAAAAAATAAGATGTGTGGTAGCGTACAAATTCGCTAAGATATTTATGACTTACAATACTACGATAGCACACTGGTTACTTTTAGCCCTGCAAGCCGGTAGAGTGCTGTCATTCACTCGATAAACGGAATTGCGTTAGCTGGAGGCACTGTATTGGTAAACGGCTAATAGCTAAAAAAAACTGAAGACGTACGTGAACAGGCTGGTCGATCCGTCCAACCAGGACAGTTAATGGGTCATCTTTCGAACCATCGGACTAACCAGTTGCGTCGCTCAAGCATGATTATGTCTGCCAGTTCTGACATGATGATTTAGACAGAGCCGTGGTACCTCGCTCGTCTCGTATGCCCTGAATAAAAACCCCCGAACGACCGAAGTAGCACTGTGAGAAACTCTTATGAGAGTGAAATTTGAGTGGCAAAATTTTTCCGGGGTGAAAACAGGCAACTCTTGTGGAGGTAAACAAATCTGCCAGCTGAAGAAATGGTTACTTTTGGTAGTAAAGTTCCGAAAAGATCAGCTGGGGGAAGTCGTGCTCCAGAGATTAAAAGCTCCACTACTGCTTACATTTAGGAAGGAAGAAGTTAGATCCTGAGGAATGGGAGAATAGCGCTGACATGAACGGCACGCAGATCACCAGACTAACCTAGATGTAGCGATATTCATATATTCACACGCAGTTGTGGTACGATTAAGATAGTAAGGAAAGAACATAAGCAAATTTCCACAAAAGACTTCTCACAAGCCAGTTATGCTCTCATGATATGCACCAACTGACGGGCAAATCATTCTAGCAGATCAGAAACCGCACTAGAAGAGTTCATCCATATGTTGTAACTCTGCACCAACGTAGTCGGCCTAGCCGTCGGCGAGGATCGATCAACCAACGTGTAGAAGGAAGATTGTGAAACATAAAGTCTGACTTCCCAGTAGACCGTGATCTGATTTAATGTTCTCTTTCTTAACTTCATCTCACCTCTAACTGTCTGACTGTTTTTGCTAGAGACATGACCCAGTCAAGCCCTTAATAGCGCTCCTGCATCCAAGCTGTTACCTTCAATGCACAGCTCTCTTCCAGACCTCTCCGACGAAAAGGCCACGGAACCCCTGAATTTACGCTTTGATTATATCGGCTCGCGTCTCTACCCCGCCTTCAAAAATCATCGGCGAGCGAAACTGTGACATTTATAGCCATTGTACAATAAGTACGCGGTTCATATACCTGAAAATGATGATGATGATTCTATATAGTGATATATATCTGTTGAAGAACCTGTTGAAAATATTTGTGCTGTTCAGGAAGTAACGAGGTCCATAGCCACAAGCTTCTGACAAACTGAATGAGCATTGCTCATATTTAAGCCCAGTCCTAAAGAATTCTACGTGGTATAACTGTATTTAACTGACCAGAAGCTACGTGATTGTGTTCATAAAACCATATCCTTGATTTTTGTGTAACAGCGAATAAACACTGAGCTGATGATCAATCGGTGTGAAATAGCAAGCCTTGTACGAAATCTGCGCATGACCGAGACCATCAGACGTCGGAAGGTACAACTGACGTGGAGTGATCACAGAGCGCAGTGGCAGATAAGTAGTCGGGAGCGGTGCTTGGACGAGTTCAGGTATGTGATTGGGTTTATTCCCTATACTGCTTGTCTTAAGATGTATAAGATTGTAATCCAAAAGATGAATAAAATACTTTCGAAAAATAGTTATTCAGGTGGTTCACAACTAGCTAAGATTAGATTATGCTTGGACGTCAGATTGGTGATTAAACTGCACACTGATTAGGAGCTCACTACTGTGAGTTAATCATTGAAACGTACACTGATTGATCGCCTCTGTGACTGTCAGAACACTTGGATCCGGTATTCGGTTGGCTGGTTGACACTTGCCTCTTCTGCCAGTCAGTTGCCAGTGGGCAGTCTAGTAGCACTCGTTCTATTCAGTTGTATTTTCCAAGACCATCAATGACGTAAACTGAGATACACCGAACGCACTACTGCATCCGCATGCACCGTTTTTAGTCCCTGGACTAATACAATGACATTCAAAGTTGAGCGTTCAAGGTAAACCAGTTTCATTTCCTGACACCACAATCAAGTTAAACAGAAGAAAAACTCCCGGTACATTGCCTAAAGTTATACAAAAGCTATGCATAAGTTTGCTGAAAGCACTTCGACAAGAATTCTAGGTAGATTCGGTTGGATCTCCATTAAAATCAAACTAGCGTGCAAACTTTCAGTATTCAGCGGAGCAGTACTCCCGTATAGTTCATGTGTAAAATAACCTTTTGGGACACCTGGGCGATTTCCAGTTTGTTGGAGGTAGAAGTCTTTAACCACTGCTTGCCACTGATTTTGGCATTTAAGTCTCGACTGATTGGTTTACTGATTTTTGTTCACTCTTCGAACCGAATCGTCCAGCTGTAACACTATTTCGTGCCGTACCACCCGAAGGAAGCATGAGGGCTGAGATACTGCCAGGTTTTCCAAGCCTAGACAGGGGAAGTCGATAAACAGAGGTCGCGTTTGAACCACGGACCTTCCGGTCAGTAAATTTGCGCTCCAACCATTGAGCCACCTCGCCGCATTGCTCACTATTAGTATGCAGGGGAAAACATCACTTGATTATGCTGGGTATACTTATTACAACTGACCACAAATAGCTTCCAGACTGGCGAAGAAAAATTAGTCAATCAAAGAATACAGTAACTCTATACAACACCAAGATTAACAGTGTAGCGGAAACACAAGAATAACTGATACTCCATGAGCATCGACAGTTATTAACCCCAACAGAAATTACTGCGCATGCATCCATCAAGGCTATCGCCTTCATTGTATAGCCCTCAATCTCTACTACACGAAGTAAGCAGAAACATTTAACGTAAGTGAATAGTTTGGGCAGTCGCGTCCAAATCATGGTTCTCAGCCAGTTATGCGCCTTATCCTTATCGAAAGAAGCTGAAGTGACCAAAACCACCGCACGATTGTGCACCGTTTGTGAGCTAGAAGAGTGAACTGAACTGAACTGAACTGAACTGAAATGAACTGAACTGAACTGAACTGAACCAAAAACGTATTGGCTGACGCAGTCTACCACTTGAAAGAACTACTGGGACTGAACTAGCTTTTATAATATATTTTATTCACGCATATCCCCATGCACCCTGTGAAAGCGAGTCGTAAAACAAGAAGGCCCCGATGGGTACACTTGTCCATAGGCATGGAGACGTATTTGTGCTGGAGCGTTCAGG